CCATATTTATTAGGTGCACAAAAATAAGTAAAAGTGCATATAACTATTGTATGTCGTCAATAGTAAATTTGTCTGAAAGGAGTGAGCACATTTTGCCTTGCACAGGATATATAATGGATACGATACTTTAACTTAAGTGATTCTTTCAGATAGCCGAGGTATATTCCAATATTCAGATACATATGTGAAAAAATCTCCGTTGTACGATTGAACCCGAATGAACTACCCTGATTCAATTTTGTATGAACAAATTTCTAAACGTGCTCCACAGCAACCCTGTCTGTACCGTCTGCCAATCATTTATACTCACAAAACTAAACAAACCTTTCTGTATGGATTGTAACTCGGCTACTACTTCCGGGGTCATAACGTCCTCGTCTTCTAGAGTCGCCGCAATAGCGGGGGCGACCTCCAGCAATTGCCCAGGCTGTTTAGTTTCGTCAGTCATGGCGACTGAACAAGTATGAGACTGCTAGTTTGTATGAAAATATTGTTATAAACGGTCTATAGACGGTCACTGTGTGTATATAAAGTATCTAAAGCCTCTTGCATACATCTAGTACAGTACCCGTGTTTCTATGTTAGATTTCTAATCTCCGATTTGTAACGCGGAGACCACTGTTTCACGAATTCGCAAATGCTATCGGCGGCGTCAGCGGAGACCACTGTTGCACGAGTTTACAAATGCTATCGGCGGCTTCAGACTTCAACTCTTTGCGGGGAGTTGGATATCAGTGATAATCAGTCCCAAAAACAGTCAAACACACATTGTCAGAGTGTCCTCAATCCTCATAGGCTCACACATAGGCCAATCTCACAGGCTGGACTCTGAGTCTCTGAAGTCTGATCACTATCCAGAACGGTCTCTCACACAAGAAGAGCATTTTTTATTAAAAATATCAACACACAAAGAGATAGAAGTAAAAATATCACACCGATTAAACCGACTACGGTTGTCTAGTTGTGTTGTTTCCGAAAAATACAAAAAAATAGTTTACCTTAGATATATCACGAGCTCCAATAAGAATGCCGTAGAGGAGCACAAAATTTCTGACTATCGCTCAAATCAGTTTATCTTTATTTATTTTGAAATATTTTCCCAGTGAAGTCAACCGACAACCGCCGGCGCCGAGTCGCCGACCGCCGTGACCGTGTGTCGGCAGTGGCTATGTCATTTTTTTTTTTTGAAAACAATAACAATTTTAAATACATTGATGTTGGTGGGAAGTTTTGTTGTCTAAACGTTGTAACGTATATATAAAGTAGGGAGTGGGACTAACTTACTATAAAACACAATCGAACTATTGTACTACAATATATGCCGAAATTTGCACCTCAGTATGTATGGACATTCCGGAAATTGCACCTCCATTTTTAGAACATATATATGTAAAAAGGAACCGATTCAAAGAAAACGTTGCTGCGAGCCAAAGTATGCCGATTTTAACTATTTAGGTATTTTACTGTTTTTGTATAAAAAACCCCCCAAAAATAATAAATGACTCATCGTTTTGGATTTCGCCGAGAGGGACCGAGTTGGGTATTCCCTGTGTTGGGTTGTACAGCATCAGTTCTATTTAAGACATTTTTCTAGAATATTTGACGTCGTAAACTAAGATTGTTTTCAATCCATTTCAAGAGACAGTGGATATAATAAACAACATGATGTGGTTATAGAACGTTTTTATTTTGAGTGTAGCAATCATTGGTCGCTATGGCTTACAAGTCCTAAGGCGACCTTACAGTAAACGTGTCAGTAGGTATTAACTGACACTTTGACACTCTTGTTTCATCGGATTTCGTAGACAGCATACGAATGTTATATTTTTACAAAAAATAAACGGATATCGATCCCTTCAAAAAAATAAACAACTTTCGTTTTGTGTTCTATGTATTACGTAAATATGTGACATCTATATCATCATATACAATCACTTTATAGTTTTAGTATACGTATATTGTACAGAGCTATTGAAGTGCAGTTATATACACGCACATCATGTCTGACCCAAAAGCCGTGAAAGAGTATGTGTATTGAATATGCAATGGGTACCTTCGAGGAATCTTCGTGTTACGTTTTACGGGTTATGTGTAACTTTGCGATTCAATACCTTCCGAACAACCTTTTGAAAGTGTATCCGTGTGTTGGACAGAGATATTGACGTTCAGTTTTATACATACTAAATTTCTGACTCAAAAGTCCTGAGAGAGTATGTACAATGATAACAGACAATGGATAACCTCGAACTACTTTTGCGTTGCATGTAAATTTGTGATTTGTCCTCGTTTACAGAGCCTTATAGTTTTGTATACGTATATTGTATAGCGCTATTGACGTATGCAATATATGCACACATCATATCTTACCCAAAGACCTTGAGAGAGTATGCACAATGAATAATAGTTGACCTCGCATACATATGTGCTATCTCTTGCTTTTCAGTGCATTGATACTCGCTTTAGACCACTTCTTCGACTTTTCTCACACAATGGACACCGCGAGCGAAGTTTGGTTCTGTCTTATCGACAGACGGTTGAGGACATAACACTCACTGTATTGACCTGTCGGTCAATGGTCTTATGTGCCTGCATTGTCTGCCACTGAACGTGAACATTGAATGTTTACGTATATAGTCTTACTGTTTTAAATTTGCAGTGAGGAGCTGGCTACCGCCATCCTAAAGAAGAAATCAGCCCCCAATCGGCTTTTGGTTGAAGATGCCGTTAATGACGATAACTCTGTCGTTTCGCTGAGTCAGGAGAAGGTAGCATATCATTTGTAGTAACTTGCACCTAAAAGGTTATATGCGTGTGTATATACGTATATCTATATATATATATGAGTGTGTGTGTTTGTATCATGTACACATATACATACATTCATAATCATATACATGGATATATAAATTTGGCGTTTAGAGTACTCAATATTAAAACATTATTTATGTGTCACTCTTATAAATATATATATATTATGTACACATATACATAAATTATTGTCATATACATTGATATGTATATGCGTCGTTTTGAGCATTATGTATATGTGTACCTTTATATTTATATTTATATTTAAATTACGTAAACATATACATAAACTTATAATTATATACGTAGATATGTATATGCAACGTTCCGAGCACTTAACATCATGAATTATGGATATGTGTACCTCATATATATATATATATATTTATGTATATCATATCGTGCCAATCTAAAACAACCAATCAAACAAAATTATATAAGGTTGAATTTCGGTGTTCACTGCACCATACTCGAAACATATCGAGAAATTGATTCTCAGTATCAGCTGCGGTCTGCTCACCCAGTGTCGTTGTGTGCGCTGTTTATGTTGTACGTCTTATAAGAGCTTTCATCGTAAACTACCTCGTTTATGTATCACAGTTAAGGCCTGTGCTAATCTTGGTACATACCAGTATGACACTTATCTGGAGTTCGTTAATCGTGGGGGCGTACCGGTGTAGTATCGGTGCGTGCATGGCCCAAACAGGCCAGGCCCTTCCTCGTGTGCACTTGGGTGCAGTGATGTGGGTTATCCAGTTGGTGAGATGGGTTAGTAGTGCATCAGTGTGTCATCTTGCGGCAGCGTGTATGTGCTTGTACGCGGCCAATTCTCGTGATATTATCTTGTACTGTCCCCATGTTTTACCCGTTTCCCACATATATCGGTGGATATGTACGCGTAATGATATACAGATTCTATTGTCGTGTACTCCACAAGCTGCTTAGGAGTGCGGCAACATATTAATGTATGTGTATTGGCAAATGTCATACAATTGCCACTTACACTGAGAGTCAAGTTTTGATTATGCAATGGACTGAACTTCAACCCAGTGCTTCCAGCAGTACTGTTTGTTGTCGAACCCTAGTGTATTTCGACCCGCAAAGCTTTGTAACACACTTCACCTTGGTACCTATATTCTTGTATACTATTGTCCCAAAGAAAAAGAACTTGTCCTGCCTCAGATCAATTTCATTCCCCCCCCCCCCCAAAAAAAAGGACCGGTCCAAAACCGCCCCACCCAACCTCATGACTAAACCCAATTCAATTCCCAATCATCCGTCGCCAGATGGACGAGCTCAACCTCTTCCGCGGCGACACAGTGCTGCTCAAAGGCAAGAAGCGTAAGGACACCATCTGCGTGGTCCTGTCAGACGATGACTGTGGCAACGGCATGATCCGCATGAACAAAGTGGTACGTACCAACCTGCGCGTGCGTCTGGGGGATATCGTGGCCGTGCAGGCCTGCCCCGAGGTCAAGTATGGCGAGCGTGTGCATGTGCTTCCCATTGATGATACGGTTGAGGATCTGAACTACGACGCCGCAAAGCTGTACGACCTTTTCTTAAAGCCGTATTTCGTGGAGGCGTACCGGCCCTTGAGGAAAGATGATCGGTTCCTGGTCCGCGGAGGAATGCGTAGCATTGAATTCAAGGTATGTGTGATTTGATATAGATAGTACATACTTATATTATACAGGTATATATATATATATAATATACAAGTAATATAGAAGTGTGGATTATACGGTGTGCAAGCTTGTATGAATGTATGCAGCTGTTCCGCGGAGAGAAAAGGGGGTTTGAAATTTTCTTCTTGTCAGGATATCATGTCCATCTTCTCACAGACACATGGATGTGTAGATGTCTCAATAGAACATTGACATTTAAATATATATATATAGGTATTAACTACTTTATAGTCTCTGGCTGTTGGAGTGTTTTCCAACATTTTGTGGCAAGGGATCTGTCTCAAGCATTTAAATATATATATATAGGTATTCACTACTCTATAGTCTGACTGTATTTCCGACATTTTGTGGCAAGGGATCTGTCTATTCTGTGCGCAAGCTGCTGCATATCACACACAGGTGTGCTCGTGTTGGTTAATGTTTGTTCCCTGGATTGAGATTATTCGTGGCCTGAACTTGATATGGGTTACTCGCCTATCAGCGGTGTCCTGATTCTCGTCGTATATCTACATCTATATCGGACCGGATAGTAGAATGGTTGGATAGGTCGTACGCTGCAAACTTGAGCATTGTGGCCCGGTGGTGTTTACGATTAGTTGCCGTATACGTATACACCCTATTACCGTACTCTCCGGCTGAATCCGTAGACAGACCACGTATCACCTGCGTTTGTCTGTTGGCTGCAGACCGTGGTGAATCGCGGTGTCACTTGGTGCATGGACTAGTGAGCCATACGACCTACAGGCGTGGTGTGTATGTACAAATAACCCCATCGATATCGGTAGGGGGGTAGTTATCTGGGCGTGAGATTTAGTTAGAGGGGGGCATATTGCAGTACTGTGTTGCTCTGTCGCAACAGGGCATTCAGTTGTGTTGTGAGTCAGCTACCGCCACAGGTTATGAGATGTAGTGTGTGTAATCGAACTCGTCGATAGCGGCACTGATGTGCAAGACGGTGGGTGTTCTGTTTCTCTCCTGTGATTAGTGTAGTCAGTGACCGGCGTTAGCTTAGTAAACAAACACGGGGCAGAGGTGAGCAGAGTGGATTTGTCGGACGGCTACTGATACCCTGAACAGATGTTTACAAGTTTTGCACCAGGCTTTGCAAGTAATATAGGAGACTATATATATATATATAGAATCAGATAGACAGCTCCTTCTGCGAAAGATTGCTAAAGGCGCCTATTCTCTATGTGATAAGAATCGCAGTCACATGTATTCGGCGATCACTGTACTGAAGTATGGCTAGTACGTGTAGGCATGCCGGAGTTGTTGTACTGTGTTAGCATGGTCGCTGCACGCGGTCTCATATCCATGTGCTGTTTACACATCCACCTCTGGGTTTCTGGAACTAGACCCCCGTACCCTGATGTATTGTAGCGTGAGTGACTCTGCACGAATCTGCATGTACTTAAAAATAACGGTCATATCTCTGGCTATCCGGTGGTATCCGTGGTTCACTATGAAATAATATACATATACTTCATTATCAATTGATTCACTATGAAAATATAAATATACTGCATTACCACTTGATTCGCTATGAAATAATATATATATAAATATACTGCATTACCACTTGATTCGCTATGCAATAACATATAGACATTATTACCACTGCACACGCCCCGTGCATTAGGTGATGGAGGTAGACCCCGCACCCTACTGCATCGTAGCTCCGGCAACCGTCATTCACTGTGAAGGCGATCCTGTGTCACGTGAAGATGAAGAGGCTGATCTAAGCGATGTAGGCTACGACGACATTGGCGGCTGTCGCAAACAGTTAGCGCTGATTAAAGAGATGGTCGAGCTTCCTCTGCGCCACCCTCAGGTAGGTATAGTGGGGTGGTGTTTTGATTTGTTTTGATTTTACCTTAAAACGTATTTATGGTATGATTAGCGTGTATATATCTGGTCAAGAATATATGGTAAAGCGAGTGTGCTGTGATATGAGATGCGTGTATATCTTTTTAAGAGTAATAGTGACTTCGAAATGTTTAATAATATGGCTATATATATATATAGATAGACTGAGGAATAGATAATGGAGTGCGATAATGAAGCAATATACTCGCCAATGAATTTATGGTAAAGCGATTGTGCGTGTGACATGAGATGCGTGTACAGCTTGTCGATAATATAAGCAACTCTGCGACGTATATCCAACTGTTTCAATTGTGCAATGTGCTATACCCGCCCTCCCTTTATAATCCAAGACATCAATAAGCTCCTATATGAAGCCAATATCGTTGGGCTCTTCCCCTCTCCCTCTCCACACACACACACCTTCCTATCTCTCTCTCATACAGTTGTTCAAGAGTATCGGTATCAAGCCACCCCGTGGTATCCTCCTCTTCGGCCCTCCCGGAACCGGTAAGACGCTGATCGCACGAGCGGTTGCCAACGAAACCGGTGCCTTCTTCTACTTGATCAACGGGCCCGAAATCATGTCTAAAATGGCTGGGGAGAGTGAAAGCAACCTGCGCCGCGCCTTTGAGGAATCGGCTAAACAATCTCCGGCCATCATCTTTATCGACGAGATCGATTCCATCGCCCCCAAGCGTGACAAGACCCACGGAGAGGTGGAGAGGCGTATCGTGTCTCAGTTGCTCACGCTGATGGATGGCATGAAACGCACCGAGCATGTGGTGGTAATGGGTGCTACCAACCGGCCTAATAGTATCGACTCGGCGCTGCGGCGTTTTGGGCGATTTGACAGAGAGATTGATATTGGCATCCCCGATGCCACGGGACGGTTAGAGGTCCTGCGCATCCACACAAAGAACATGAAGCTGGGTGATGATGTCGACCTGGAGCAGGTATGTATGGGGAAAGGGTTGGGGTTGTTGTGCTGTGTTATACACTAGGACGGCGGCGTTACTAAGCTTCCACCTTGCTGACCTGTACGAGTCTGTGTGTATCAACGCTACTATGAGGACATATGTACGAGTGCTGCGTTACATGGCCACCCACTTGAAAGGGATGTATTTCCCACTGGCGTGTATTATTATCGCCCTACACACTGTCTTCGGATCAAACAGCCACTTTGGAATACGTTTATATATTCTCGATTGAGGGGAATACCCACTTTGGAATACGTTTTATGTATACTCGATTGAAGGGAATGCCCGCCCACTTTGGGATACGTTTATATATTCTAGATTGAAGGAAAACCCACTTTGGGATACGTTTATATATTCTAGATTGAAGGAAAACCCACTTTGGGATACGTTTTTATATTCTAGATTGAAGGGAATACGAATACCCACTTTGGGATACGTTTATATTTTCTCGATTGAGGGGAATGCCCACTTTGGAATACGTTTTATGTATACTCGATTGAAGGGAATGCCCGCCCACTTTGGGATACGTTTATATATTCTAGATTGAAGGAAAACCCACTTTGGGATACGTTTATATATTCTAGATTGAAGGAAACCCACTTTGGGATACGTTTATATATTCTAGATTGAAGGAAAACCCACTTTGGAATTCGTTTATATTTTCTAGATTGAAGGGAATACGAATACCCACTTTGGAATACGTGTATATATTCTAGATTGAAGGGAATACGAATACCCACTTTGGAATACGTTTATATATTCTAGATTGAAGGGAATACGAATACCCACTTTGGAATGCGTTTACATATTCTAGATTGAAGGTCGAGACACCGTTGTGTCGTTGGTAGTGATTAGCGTTGGCTAATTATCAATGTAGATTATGTTCACCCTAGCACAAAGTAGTACAGAGTTGGTATGTGGTGTCGTCTAAACTTCTCAAGTACAACCCAACAAATAAATACTCACCGGTCATCATGCTGTTAATAATCGCTTTTTTCTTCTTTCGATGTAGGTAGCCAATGAGACCCACGGTTACGTTGGTGCTGATTTGGCGCAGCTTTGCTCCGAGGCCGCCCTCCAGCAGATTCGCGAGAAGATGGACCTCATCGATTTGGACGATGACAAGATCGACCCCGAAGTGCTTGATGGTAAGACGTGCTTGTGGACTTGAAAAGTTGTTGTTGTTTTTCTGTCTATGTCAATCGCCCCACGTCTATAGGTGGACAGTTGTCGATTTCGTATCTACATTATTTGCGCTGTCATATGTGTATGCGATATAGCGGGGGGCGGTGTTCGATTAATATCATAGACGTGCGTTGAGCGTTTTTATTTTACTATTCGGTGGTCGTTTTAGACGAAGTCATAGGCTATATTCGAGTATCCGCGTTTATTTGAAAGCTCTGCTTAGAGGATGTCTCACGGAATTTTTATGTAAATTTTGTCAAGAAGTTCATCTCGGACGCTCGGAATCATAGAATTCGGGACGTGTTCTTGATTTGGGGGGTATATGACCCGTCTTTTTCATATGTTTCGGGTGTTTAATACCTGATTCTTGATATATTAAAACAATTGAATCTAGAGCGTTAATTTCAGACAAATACGTTGGATACCTCCAGAGATAAAGTTTGTATCATTATGATACAAAGTGACCCACCGCCAGCATCACCCATTGGTACCGTTAGTGGTACAAAAGTTATCTCGTGAAAGTATCCAACCGATTTGTCTGAAACCAACGCTGTGTCTTTCACTAGGTTATTAGATTCTAGTTCAGGTCTTAGAATTCCAGAATTGTACAGAAAACAATCGGTGGAGATTTACTCCACTTTGTATAGGAACTTGGTGCAGACCCTCTAGATTTAGAACCAAATTTTTACTACAACCCCTAAGATGTTAGGCTTGTTTTGTTTTTGAAGGCTATGATACTTATGGTTTGTTGAAGGAATTCGTCTCAGAATCGTAAAATCTAAGATGTGTTTCTGATTTGAGTTGAAGTATTGCATGAAAGCAAGCAATTTCATTCTTTATATTTATTTATGTATGTATCTTGTTTGTCGAAGAATTTTGTCTCGGGTCATGGAAATCAGGATGTGTGCTCGATTTTGTATTATAGTGTTGCATGCAAGTCAGTAATCATAGACATGGGCACACTATCACCATTGCATACCTTGTCGCCCATATTTATTTTTTAACATAAATCATCGCCTTGACCAGTTTTAATAAAGCTCTGAACACAACACAAATTACAACTATGACTGTCTAACCACGTTGTTTCTGAACGTTATATTTATAGCACTTGCCGTGACAATGGATAACTTCCGCTTTGCCCTCGGCGCCTCCAACCCATCGGCACTGCGAGAGACTGTTGTGGAGACTCCCAACGTCAACTGGGACGACATCGGTGGTTTGGAGACTGTAAGTGAGAGCTTTTCGTGTATCTGTATCTGTGTGTGTACATACATACACAAATGTGGTACACCGGGTACACAATTTAGCTAGTTGGCTCTGCTTTGGTTTAGTAAAGGTCCTTAATAGTTTGGAGATTGTACATAGCTCGTGCGGTGGCTGTATAATCATGTCAGTACTTTAATGTGCGTGTTGACTTTGTACGCCTATTCCATTTGGAGGGCGTGCTCTTCTATTGCGACTCCGTGTGAAGTTGCCTGAGCGGCTGTTTTGTGTGTTATGCATAATCTTTTTATAGGGAGCGGTTGTAGTTGTATGGTGAGGGGACCTCTCACATCTAACTTGGCTCTGTATCTACTTGGTTCAATTTTATGTTCACTCATTGCATTGGAAATGTTAGTAGTGTATGGGTTCATTGTATGTAATCTGGAGTCCATGTATAAGTTATATCGATTTACTTTTGTCAAGCGCTGTCAGCGCCACTATGTCTATGTGTATATACAGATATATTGTCTTATGTAGTGCTACTCATCATACTGTTGGGGCTTGCTCAATGTTTCGCGCATCTCGATCGATATAGCGAAAGTCTCGAATGTCTCGTTCATTTCAACTATGTTGTGATGTGTTGTATTCATCTAGTATTCAAAGTGACGCTTTCTTGATCCTGCTTGTACACAGGTCAAGAGAGAGCTGCAAGAGCTGGTACAATACCCCGTCGAGCACCCCGAGAAGTTCCTAAAGTTCGGTATGACGCCCTCGAAGGGTGTACTGTTCTACGGTCCCCCGGGATGTGGTAAGACGCTTCTAGCCAAGGCCATTGCCAACGAGTGCCAGGCCAATTTCATCTCAATTAAAGGTACGTGATAGGGTACATGCGATGTTGTCATTTGTCGATACGGTTATTAAATTGTATGCTGGAGTGTTTATATTCTCCGGAATTCTATTGTATCGTTGTGTCTCCATGGATGGTGCTTGAGCTCGCATTTTTTTTCTTATCAAACAGGTGTGCCATATCTTGATTCAAATCCTTCTGCGTCTCGTTTCCTGTGTGCTGTCAATATTCAATAGGTCGCTAAATGCATTCAATTCGTGATCCTGCCCGTTTCATAACACAGTATGCTTCTCTCTTCCTCTTTGCCCTGATAGGTCCCGAACTTCTTACCATGTGGTTCGGTGAGTCCGAAGCCAACGTGCGTGAGATCTTCGACAAAGCGCGTGCGGCCGCACCCTGTGTGCTGTTCTTTGACGAGTTGGATTCCATTGCCAAGGCGCGTGGCGGTGGTGGTGGCGATGCCGGGGGTGCGGGTGACAGAGTCATCAACCAGATCCTTACCGAGATGGACGGTATGAACGCGAAGAAGAACGTTTTCATTATCGGTGCCACGAACCGACCGGATATTATCGATGGGGCTATCCTACGACCCGGACGTTTGGACCAGCTTATCTATATCCCTCTGCCCGATGAAGCGTCGCGTCTGTCTATCCTGGAGGCTGTGCTGCGTAAGTCGCCCGTGGCCCCTGATGTCAGTATCAAGCTGTTGGCCCAGGTCACCAAGGGATTCTCCGGTGCGGATTTGACGGAGATCTGCCAAAGGGTAAGTCTGGAGTATCCGATGGATATATGGAATGTAAAGTACTTTACCTTGTATATATACTACATCTGGCATGGGTTTGATTTTGTGACTTATTAAAGTTGGCTTTGTGGTAGGTGTGACCGGGCGCTGACTACATAATAACGGAACCCTTTGATCGTTTGCTTTCGATCAGTAGCGCCGAGGTTGGCTTGAAAGTATATTTTATTGGTATTTCGTACTCTTCTTCTGAGGCCATGGTGGTCTGTCATAGGCTACCCTTTTTATATATATTTCGTACGTTACTTTGGATGCCTGTTTCTACTCTCCTTCGAGTACATGATTTCTGTTTGAATTTTTGCAATATTCCCTGGACCAACTCATTAATGTGCTGTTCTTATTTTACCTGTCGATTATGTATTCGCATGTATGGTATATACGTACGCGCGTAAATGACCCGTCTCGAGTTGTACTCTGGAAAGTGCAAAATTTATTTTGTTTGTATCATCGCAGGTATTATTCTCACTCAGTCTCGGATTTGTTTTTTTCCTTATGTCGACTTGTCTCATGTTTGTATGCAAACGTCCCCCTACGCACTTTCTAGGCCGCCAAGCTGGCTATCCGAGAGTCTATCGAGAAGGATATGCAGCGCGAGCGTGAACTCCGCGACAATCCCGATCAAGAAATGGACGAGGACTATGAAGACCCTGTCGCTGAGATCCGCCGAGATCACTTCGAAGAGAGTATGCGCTTCGCCCGCCGGTCCGTGAGTGATCAAGACATCCGCAAGTACGAGATGTTTGCACAAACCCTACAACAGAGCCGAGGATTCGGAAACCAATTCCGATTCCCCGAGGGTGGTGTAGCTGGTTCCGAGCCAGCGGCAGGCGCCCCCGCCACCGGTGAGGGTATTAGTTTCGAGGATGCCGCGGACGATGATCTGTACAACTAAGTCTATGGCGTGCGATAAGTTTACGCACCGTTGAGTCCGTGGTTTGCTGGAGATGCCTGCTTTAGTGCCACATTGAGATTGAACAAATGCGATGCCCACATGTATTCGAGATCCGTTAGATTATAGTTATGAAGATGTGAGTGCGTTATGTACTAAATAGTGACGCATTCGAGGATCTCAGGCCACTCGAACAACATGTGTGTATGTCAAGAAACTTCGCTGAAACTCATGAGCACCTGTAGCTGGAGCAATCTGGTCTAAAACCCGCGACTGATTATTTAGATATTTAGTTCGAATGGCCTCGCACTGGATGTTATGTACATGTACGCGCATATGCAGTAGCCACAGGTCGAGTTATGAAGGTATGAGGAATTCTGTGGTGGGAGTAGGACAACGAATATAGATACTTGGGTTACATAGCGCAAATAAAACCGATCATATAAATTCTAGTTGGCATACGGGTAGTAGTACGTGTCTGCCTGAATAGTGTGTAGTCAACTCCTATAGTTTGCGATACATCCCTATAAATTGTAAACTCGAAAATCTCGGTCGGTATCGCGCAATAAACCAAATGTAAATAAATACTAAGCAGTTTGCATTCTCAATGTCTTACAAGTGGGAAGTAAAAAACGGAATAAGTTCTGAGACAATTGCCCTTTTTACCTCTGAGCATTGTACACTCAGTCGGTGTCACAGAAACGAAGTGAGACCGCTCAAATGAGAAGGGGAATTCGTAAAGAAGTTGTTTGATGTCAATCTAGTGCAATGGAAACAACAAATGTGCGAAAACGGCAGATGATGCCAACGATAACCAGGTTTCTTCAACGAACGCTCCAATTCCAATCTGTTGCCACAAAATATAGAGCCAAAGCCGCAGAACAGGCACATAATTGTACATTACTAGCGCAACCCTGTTGACAGATTTGATGATAGCATATCTAGAAAAAACCTATTTATTTATTTTAATATGATATGTTCAGTTTCAACTATCCAAATTTTAATAAATGATATTATCCCTATCGGTAAACACGTAAAAACGGTAATTTTTAAAACGGGAACTTGTCAAAACTTCTATGTATTCTCGCATCGAAGTTGGAACGAGCATAGTCCGGTCCACAGGTTGCTCGCAGCCCAAATGACGTAGATTTTGAGATGTAACAATAATGTGAAGGATGGTAAATTTGGTTTCATCCTCATAATTTCGTGCCAACATCCAAAACGATAACTCGTACAAAGTTGGTATGCTCGTATACTCCCTTTGAGTTCCTTAGTCCGAGAGACAAACTACCCGCATCCCGATACCAACCATAGTGACCAAATTCAAATTTCAAGTGAAACAAATTTATAGCAGGTCGCGTGAGTTGACTTCGATAGCAAGTCATGTTCCGTATCAGTCACATTCAAATATTGCCATATCACAACTCTTCTTTGAAGACGCAGAATTATTCACACTCTCAATCTTGCCAATACGTGCGCTGAGATGCATGACGTGTTCTGTAAAAGCAGAACACACAAAAAGAAATGCACATACCTGTTGCGGAGGCAGATAAAACACCCCAGAGACATAACCCTTCTACCTCATTTCAAATTGGAGATTTTCGTGGTAGAAGATATATAAAGGGAATGATGCCTGGTGGACTAATCAGGGTTCATTACATAGTGTACTCGAGTACTTTCCATCAGTGCCCGATGCCAACGTCAAGGAATCATAATACGTGAAGAATCTGCAGTACCGCGTCTATTGGAAAACTAAATGCTCACAAGACATCTTGGCGATTGCAATTTGTTATCTAGATCACAGCCACGAAAGGAATACTACTGACTGTCCTTGCAGCCCGGAGACAGTAGTCGTGAGCGGTTGGAAAAATTACTTTAGTTCTATTGACTAAGGGCATACAAAATCTCATGTATCACGCGGCCTTGTGTTTAACCACAAATAATGAAAGTGGGAATAAACATATATATTATTGATATACGATAACTATTTTACCAACCATGATACTCAATAGACGTGTATTTCTGCATTTAAAGACATACTACGCTTCATGACAAGAGATAAACGGGGTGATGCTTTCGATTGGATTCGGTTCGATTGCTACAGGTCGCAGCAACTCATAAGGCTCCCTAACACAAAGCTCTACACAAGCATTAGCAGCGCAGACGACGCTGCCAGTATTATGTACAGGGATGTTCCTGAATCAAAACTCAAGCTTAAAACCCCCGAGAAAAAAATGCCGTGGATCGTACCAAAACACTACTGAATGTGGTTCCTGCTGTAGTACCCACGACATAACGGAGTTTGTACCCTTGCGCACAGACCCTGCGATAAGCAAAGGTTTATCCCAGCTGGGTGAAAATTTAGATTAGGCTTATCAGATCTGATTCGGTATGGTGCTGCTGGACAGATGGTCCGCTGAAGTTTAAGCAACAGTAGGATAAAGTTATCTGAATGTATGGACGGTATTGAACAAATTCGGAAGTTGAACAAGTTCGGAAGTCTTTCTTGTATTCGCTGAAATACAGGCTCGCTGAGCCATGTAAGCTGTCTGAGTTTCAGTACTAGCAGATGCGCATGTCGTTAACGTCAGAGAGTGATCTACGCAGAATTGTACAGCAAATGAAATGTATTTACGGATCAACATATTGGCTAGTGACAAATGTGAGCAACTGTAGACTAACTTGGAATTGGCCTGTCATACAGATGACCGCAGGAAAACCTTTGAGCGCATCTGGAAAACCACTCAGCCATGTTCTCTTGTGGTGAGTATGAAATCCAAATGCACTGGATATGCAAAATCTACTATCATAGGTAAAGAAGAGAAGATGTCGCTATTGAGAAAACTATACTAAGTCATTTAAAAGAAAAAGACTGTACTTGAGTGAATTATATAGCTTTAATTATCTACAATGTCTTAATAGTTCACCTATGGCGTGGGTGGGGGTCAACTTATATTTGGGTAGCGATTTTTTGTCACATCTTCGGCAGGCTTACCATCTGTATCATCAAAGTGAATGTATACTACGCTCTTTATCTGCATATGACCAGGTGGAGTGTAGCACTCCAATTGGAACCCTATTTATAACCTCAGGATCTGTTTCCTTTGTTGGTGTCACTGTTACCTTTGTTGGTGTCACTGTTTCCATCGGTGTTACGGTTTTGTTGTTCACTTGATACCAATCACCTTGATAACGAAACATTCCTGTGGGACTCACGCTAGTGGGTTCGATGTCAAAGAATACTTTCACTACCCTACAACGTTCATGGTCGTACAGGCGGCAAATAATTTGGGATTCATGGGTTTCCTGAACTCGTTTGATAACTCAGGCACAAGTGCTACGGAGCCATTCTGAGATGATTGGCCTGGTGTTGATTGACTAGGAGTTGATTCAGATTGACCTGGTTTTGTTGATACTGATTGACCAGGTGTTGTTGTTGATGATTGGCCAGGTGTTTTTAATTGATAATTGACCAGGTATTGTTGATGATGATTGACCAGGTGTTGTTGGTGCTGATTGATTGCGTGCTGATCTATTACGTGGTGATCGACGTGGTGTAATTGCCCACCTATGTTCGTCGTCATCAAGAACATTCTCAAGGGAATTGAGTAAATACTGAGAAGAGGCGGGTACGAACAACATCCGAAACGTTCAAATAGCCAACTTGACGAAGGTTAAATAGGCCGCATTTCAGGCGTAGGATATACACCGGGAGATAGTAACCCAGCTCCACATTACCAGCTGGGAAGTGCATAAAAAACAGGAACGTCCAACTTGGAATACAAATACACCGTATGGAGGTCGAAATGGTAAAAGTCTTGTCGGATGCTGGCAGTCCGTGACATGATGCGAGGGGTAGTGGCAGGTGCTGCCGGTGCATAGGTTTCACGATAGCAGGTTCCGTGCCACTGTTGGACACCACTGGCGACCATTCGTGCTTTAAAGATCGTGGGGGTTCTGTTCTCGTCATGTTTCCTGGTCAACACGTAATCTGAGTGGACGATGCGTGTTGTTAGCGGGGACGGAAACAATAGGACTCTTGTTATGGGCCGCGCGTTCTTTCGCAACTGCCGCTTCTCATTGAGGCCAGGTCGGTGATTTGCAGGCTTGCCTCACACTTCGAGAAAGGTAGTTTCACGGAGGGTGGATAACTCTATGGGTGTAATCGCTGTGATGTCATCAGTGGTCGCAGAGCAAACGTACGGAAACCTGGATGAGGGAAGTCGTATTCAGCTGTATAGTCGCTGGGATCTTCCAGGGAATAGAGTCCGTTGTCAAAAGAGGAATCAGGCCAGTCGAAAAAAAAATGTTGAGGCGAGTTGATGCCGTCGTCAAGGACTGTATCTAAGAAGTGGGAATCAGTAGAGCACGGAGACCGAAGGGAGTCAGAAGGGTCATCGGTATCCAACCGGTAGGAACTGTCATGGGTCGTGGTGGACAAGGCATCGATAGGTACGTGCGCAGGGGGTGGAAGAGGACTTTGTTCGGCGAGCGTGGGCTGAGAACATTGGCGATGATGATCATCGAGATATCCCTGGAAGTCGATGTTGAGCACTTTGGGGGTAGTGGATTGGAAAGGTATACTACTCATGGTCGAACGCAGGAGAAACGGTAGTTCCATCGGAGTGCTGGGAGTGAATGGCGGAGTGAGCCTTGTTCAAGTAATACCCGGAGGTGTGGTCTGTGTCTGAGGGGGCTGTGGTCAAGAAGATGTCAGCGTGATATCCGACTGAGGTACACACATTGCAGTGGGGAGTAGTAGAATAGGTACAGGAGCGATGATGATTAGTGCAGGATCGGTAGCAACAGGGGGTGATGCAGTAGAGACGTGAGGGACCGAGACAGCAATAGATGAGTCTAAGTCGTACCAGTTGGCGGGCATAACGTATGGCGGTGCATGTACAGTGCTTATCACATCCGGCGCTGGTAGCTCGTCGGTATGAATTTAACATCACGCGAACGGAGCTGTCGCTGGTTAGCGAAATTTTGTATCTTGCCGCCATTCTACGCGTAGGTTTCCTGCTTCTGTTCCCAATATTGCGATGGTACTCATTGCAGGCTTGAATAATCGCCACAGTGGTGGAGAAAGAATGAGATGTGAGGTCTAAGCTATTGATAAAATGCAGCGAGAGTTCTGCGCTATTTGGAACAGGCGGAGACGGGAATTTAGATAAAACATTGGTAAGAGATGGTCTAGGAGTAGCAGGATATGAGCTTTAAGGAGCAGGAGGGTGTCTGCGTCGAGAATTTTTTTTTTTGATTCTTTTTTAACCAGGAGGATCAATCGTCAATCGAGATGTGTCTATATGTATTTATTTATTTTGCGCTATTTTTCCCCCTCGATTTTGACTTGCTAGAATTTCTGTGATTTTTATGTTGCATTGTTTGGCTCATGTTGCAAACATTTTTCCACAGAGTTTTTTTTGGGACATATCGTCACCAGTCTTCGTAGCTTCAGCAGCTAGTTTCCATTTGCTAGAATTTCTGTGATTTTTGTGTTTCATTGTTTGGCTCATGTTGCAAATATTTTGCAACAGGATTCTTCAGACATATCGTCACCAGTCTTCGTAGCTTCAGCAGCTAGTTTTCCTCGATTTTGACTTGCTA